TTCCTGCTCCATGGCCCACACATAAATCAATGCATGTCCACCATAGCTGAGAATTCTTACAATCTCACTCACAGCTTTCTTCCTCCTTTCCTGAAAATAAAAGACAATATAATCAATCATCAATATTATAACGTCAGAATCCTGTACGATGCATTGTTTGGTGGCAGTGTTCAGTGCTTCGAGTGAATATGCAAGTTTTCAGATGTTCACAGGTGTCAATCATAGATTTATACATGTTGACATGTTGCTGCTTGTTAGAATACATGACTTGTGACATATGCAAAAAACAGTACAGAGATTTGAGATGTAGATCATATGATTTTTAAATTGATGTGATGTTTTTATTAATATTAAATATTTGGTTGAAATTAAAATATATATATATATATAGACCAACCATCTTGGAATTTAAAAAAAATAAAAACAAAAATTCACTTTCAAAAGGAACAATGTTTAGAATATGTAGAATATTAAATTCATACTGTAACTATTCTAGCTGAATACAATACATTTGCTTCATACTATTGATTAGTTAGCTTTGTTAGAATTTATTATTTTCAGTTTGGAAAAAATGGCAACAAAAGTTCTCAATAAAATTACACAATATCTACACAATAGAACATTTATTTATAAATGCGATTGTATTAGAGTTTTTTGGTAACTTTTTGTTAAATATATTAAAGACCAAACTGACTATATAGATATACACCATTTCACATTAAAAGATATATTATTAAGTAATGATAAACATTTGGCATTGATAGGTAATTTGATCTTGCTCAGTAAACTTCACATTTATCACTCTAAACTTAAATCAAAGAAAGCTTAGAAAGAACTCCCATGTGCTGAGAGTATTGGAGACACATTAAATATAATTCGAAATTATTTAGCTGAAAACTAATTATGCAAATCAGAAAATTAATATGACCAGATTTGAGTGTAAAACTAATGAGTTCTGCGCAATGTAACAGAAAATCTATGTCTCCAAGTTTAATTGAAATGTGATTAGAACCAAAAAATTATGAATTATTATGCTTATTAGGGAATTAATATGAACAGATTTTTACCCAAAACTAATTAGGTTTGTACATTGTCCTAGAGCATCTTTATACTAAGTTTCATTGAAATGGAATAATTAGTACCGTGAAAACTCCAAAATTTCGACCCCTCTAAAAATTCGATCGCCTATTTATTTGCCGGTTTCTGTGTTTTATTTACCTACAAATTTTCGACTCCACTAAAAATTGCCGACTCATTCTTATTCGAAAATTGCGACCAGTTTTAGTTTTCCCCCAAACGAAAAAAAAAACGATGTGAGCGTTCAAACGGGACCTTCCTCGAAGGCATGAATCCGGGTTTCTGATTGACTGAGAGATTTTTATTTTATTGGTAACGAAAATATAT